GTAAAATCCCGAGGATATGAAAAATTACAGAAAGTATTACACGAGTTGTGCCGTGCACCTTGTATTTTCTGTACAAAGATATTCTGTCCTAAAGCACTTTCCTAATTAATCAATTGCAAACTCATTAAGGTTATTACTTGTTTAGGGAGCCTTAATTCTTGAGGTTAAAAAAACAGTCGTTAAAAAAATGCATTTTTCAAAAGGAGATCATTACAAACACAAGTATCCTCAAAATGCTTCATCTTCCTCTTCTTCAACACTCTATTTTCCACCCATTCCTCCTCTTTCAGTGAATCATCTTCCATTTCCTAATGATGAACCCTTCCCACAACAGAGTTTTATGGCGAGATCTCCTCGTCGTTCCAATCTACCCCTCATTGATACGAATCCTAACAGGGATAACCTTCTTCATTCATCTATTGATAATCATTTGAATCAAGGTCATCATCCATCATTTCTCTTCGCCTCCTCCAAGACCTCCCTCTTGCAGTTGAATGAAAGCCTTATAATGATGGAAAATCAACCACCCTCCAGTTCTACTTCAACCTTTCCTAATCTTGTTCCACCACTTTCTATTCATTCAACAGGAGAGATGAATCAACATTCCGATCTGAATCAACAACCACCTGTTTCTGCAAGATCCATACGTTTTAATTTAGATCCAATTATTCATGAAGAGGAGGAATCCAAAAAGCCTCACAAGAAAAAGCCAAGAGAAAACAAGCCAAGAGTTCCCTCTGTTTCTTTTCCATCGAATCCTATCACGATGCCTCAAGATGAGGACCAATTTGAAATTGATCCAACTCAGAAAGAAAGGATCGCTAGGCGTCCAAAGACTCCTCGAACTCCTGAATTGGCGTTGAATTCAGATTATGTTTCGAGGGATTGGACACGGGGAGGAGAGGAAGAATCAAAAGAGTCTGAACAGGAAAAGGAAAGGAGGAAGTGACACAAAAACAAGAGAAAATTACATCGTCGCTGTCACTTGCCAGATTTCTCAAAAGAAAAAGCAATGATTCTCGCACTCCTGGTCAAAGCTATTCAAGGCAAGACTCTAACGTCTCCGTCTCAGATGTTCAACCAACCAGGTGGGAAGCAATGAACGCAACGCCAAATCAACCTCCATTTCTTCGTCCAAAGAATTGAAAGCATTAAAACAAAAAGAAAAGGACGCCTTGCTCAAGAAAAACTCCAAGCTAAAATCGACAAGATTAAGCGAGAAATGGGAACTCTTTCGTCTCCTCCTCAACCACAAGGTTTTCAACAAGAATTTCCTGAATACGACAATTCATTAATCCACACATGATGTGAATTCTAATGGAAATAATTCTCTGTCGAATTTACGAAGTTCAACACAACATTTGAAACCCCTTCCATCCATTCCATCAACACACAACTCTGGAAAATTCAGTTCATGGCTCGCTATTTCAAAGATCGGTTCAAAAAGGACTCTACAAATCCATTGACTGTAAATAGATCATTGAGTGAGGAATTTAAGAAAGTACCTTATTTGACTATACTTCTTAGTATTGTACAGATTTTGATGTTTGTGGTGAGTATTGCCATTGGAGGTCTTGAATCTGTGATTGTGAATCCATTCATTGGACCTCCAGAAGATACAATGATTCTATGGGAGCAAAAAAAGGCCAGCTCATCATTTCTCCAAACTGGCAAGTGTATCGACTTGTGACGCCTGTTTTTCTTCACGGTGGCATTGTTCACCTTTGTTTGAATCTGTTATGGCAGCTGACGTTATGCTTCCATTAGAAAAGCATTGGGGATACTCTATGTGGGATTCATCTATTTCATGAGCGCATTAGGAGGAAATTTGTTGAGCGCTCTCTTTCTTCCTCATATAACAACCATTGGAGCTTCTAGTGCATTGTTTGGAATCTTGGGAGCAATCTATGCGGATTTGTGGATGAACTGGAGATTCATGCCACAGCCAAAGAAAGATTTTGTTTTGCTCACTTTTCAGGTTGTGGCTCAAATCATTGTGGGCTTGATTCCTTGGATTGACAATTTTGCACACTGTGGAGGACTTCTTGTAGGCTTTTTAACAACTCTGCTCACCATTCCAAGAATGAGAGACCTAAATCCCTACGAAGAGAGCATTAATGGAGGAAGTGTCAATACACAAGTGAAGCGAAAGAAGCTGTCGGGTGCAAGTAATCATTTGTCCAATGATCCAAATAGTCAATTGGAAACCATAGATCTTGAAAGTGGAAGCTCACAAACAAAATCCCATACTCAAAGTGCCATTCTAAGATTCATGAAAAAGTTTGCCTGTGGATGTTCGGCATGCTTTTGTTGCTGCTTCTATTGTTTCACCAAGAAAGGAAGAGCAAAAGGAAAATTTCGTCTCTGGTTGAGAGTGATTGCTGGTTGTTTGCTCTTTTTGTATTTTGCAGTTTTTGGAGGCCTCTACTTTTCTCAACTCGATTTCAATTGTAAATGGTGTTATTTCATTAACCCTGACTGGGACACCCTGTATGAAATTTTTGAACTAGCTCGTGAAAAGCTGTAAATGTCAAATAGATCTCAAACAACTAGAAAACGGTACATTATTTGTAAATTCGAACTTTTCCTTGTAGATAATCACATACGAATAGCTCACCAGCAATTTCATTAATACAAATCCCTCCGAGATACTTGTTACCATTTCTAACATTGTGGTGACACACAAGCGTTCCTTGTTTTGTGAACACTGATAATTGTGGTTCTCGTCATAGACAATGCTCTTGAACTCTTTCGAACACAACTGCACATGGTTGTGTTAGATTTGACTCTCCCAACTGTTGAGCCAACTCCCATTCAGTACCACATATATGAAGCACATCAACTCTATTCCGTGAAGAGTTACATATTAATAATTTGAAATCTTTTCCAAAATATGCAACCTCAATTCCTACAGGACGCCCTTGTAATTTAATTTCTTCAATATATTCGCCAGTACTCAAGTTCAATACTTTTACGCTCGCTGATGATGAGTCACATACGAATGCCCTATTTTGCGAGCTCGAAACTGCAACTCCTTCTGGTTTCTTGAAGGTATCACATTTCCACAAGTAAGTCAGGCGATCATTCTCCAATGGAATATGCTCCAATAATGCGTACAAATCATACTTGAACACACAACAACCCACAAGTCCACCACAACTAAACAACAAGGCGTCACTATTTTTTCGAGCACTGTTTGGAAAATATTCCTCCACACAGAGAAATTTTGGAAGAGCCGCTACAATGGATTTCTTAAAGTTTTGGTGATCAAATCGAAAACTAGGATCATGTCGCTCTCAGGCACACTCACTAGAATACATGAATGGGTGTATGATATTTTTACATCCAATGCTTTCATCGAAATTTTAGGATGGAACGGTGTGGAAATTTGTAAAGATTGAACAAGATCAAAATTTTCTGGAAATGGTATTGGATGAGATCGTTTGAATCGTTTCCCAAACATCATCTTTTGTTTAATTTTGTGGATAGATCCATGAAGGTTGAAAACGATTCCGACATTTCCAAATTTTCGTTCTTGTACGAAAAATAACCAAAATCAATTAGAATACATTTGACACCAATTTCTTCACTGCACAATTCCGAAAAACATGATCCTCTGAATGAAAGGAAGAAATCTGTGAAGAAAGCTCGATTTTTCTCTTCTTGAATTCTGTCATTCTTTAAAATTTTTTGAGCCCTGTCATCTGTCGCATGATTATAACCAAAAATTTTTAACTTCTGCAACACCACAAAAAAATCACCAACACAACATCTGGCAGCACCATGGTGTCGCTGCCAATTTACCATTCCAGTGCTTCTCGGACTGCTTTCCTCCTTTTCCTCTCTTTTCTTTCCTTCTTCTTCTCGTTGCAACACAAATTGTTCATTCTTCCTCGCACACGGATTTTCTTTCGCGCCTTTCCACTCCATTACAAAGTAATTATCAACAACCGAAAACAACCGCAGCTGTAAATTTCCCAGAGTTCACAACGGAAGAAAATGAGGAAACGACAACTCATAGAAGAAACTTCTTAACACGAGAAATTAAGAAACAACGAGTCTTCTCCGATGAGGATTTAGCCAATAGTTTGTTGCATGAAAGAAAGATTTTGTTTAGTGGAGAGAAGTTTGTGGATACTGAGCAAGAACCTTCATTGATGAAGAAAGTTTTGATGGCTATGAAACAATCTCAACAATCATCATCATCACTAGTTCAAGCAGAAGAAGAGCTTGCTGATGTTGTGGAACGATTTGAAAATGTTGCTGCACCTCTGATTGACAAAGATCGACCTGTAGAGATTTATGTTCAAGTCAAGTCACCTGTTCCAAGTGGTTTTGCAAAATTCTTACAATCTTATTTTGAAAGCAAATCAGAAGTTCATTATCATCCTCATAATAGTTTTGTCGTAGTGGCTCCATCCATGAGAAAAATTATTGAAAAATTAAGACATATCGACATGAATAGAATTAAGAAGGAATTCAAGTCAGAGGATGATAAGAAGGCTGAAAATATTGTTTGGGTCGGTATTGTGGATCCAAGTTATAAAATTAGTACTGATCTCCACAGAAACAAGAAAAATCCACTTGCCTCATTGGATCTTGACATTCAACTCTTTTACAAGACTGAACTTCCACGATTGATCAAGGATGGGAAGACAAGATTGCAAAGCTCATTGAACGTATGAACACAACCATGCAAAGTCATGTACGAGACAAGGTAAAGATTTCACAAAATAAGGAGCTTTCTATCAAGGTGACAATTCCACAATTACTTAAGAATGATTTGCTGAAAGCTCTTGCTTCATCTCCAGCAGTACGTCACATTCAAAAAGAAGAAAAATTCGGTCTTGAAAACGACTATTTTGACGACGAGGAAGATTTCGAAGATGAAAACGACGAAGAACAAGAATCCGATCTCATTTCATTTTCATCATTCTTTAACAAATATTTGACAGGTCATTCAGTTGAAAACAAACAACTCGAACAAGAGCAATCAGATGCTGATCAAGCAGAAGTTGCTGCTGCCAAAAAGCTGCTCAACGACGACTACACTCTGGACGATCATGAAACATTCCATTTAATCTCGGCTCTTAATCCCCTCAGCGATACCTATAAATCCGTCTTGCTCAAGTATGGCACACCAGATAAGACCACTTCCAAGTCCTACCTTGGAGATAATTTTGCACGTATCGCTAACACAACCTTAAACTTTGTTGGATCGGATAAGATTGGACAATCAGCATTACCTGACGTTGCATGGATGTGGTCTAAGGGTTTCACAGGAAAAGGTCAAGTCATTGGAATTGGTGATACTGGTATTGACACTCACAATTGTTGCTTCTATCGACGAGGTCAAAAAGTTCCTTACAATAAGATTGACTTGGAGGCTCACGATAAGTTCACATCCTACAAGGTCTATGCAGATGATAAGGACATTGTAAGAGGTCACGGCTCGTTTGTTTCATCCATCCTGGCTTGCAATGTGAAACCAGATCAATTTGCCAATGGTGATGAAATGAAAGATTTGTATGATGGTATTGTCAAGGATGCCAAACTTTGCTTCTTTGATTTAGGCCTTCCTACCCATCGTTTGAATGTTCCTCGTGATTTATCTGGAATTTATTTCCCTCACATGCACAACAAGTGTGACGCTAAAATCTCCACGAACAGTTGGGGAAGCCCCAAAGGCGCACGATACACCATTGCCACGCAAGAAGTGGACGAATGGGCCTACAAGAACCCAAACACAGTTCAACTCTTTGCTGCTGGTAACAGTGGAAGAAGTGGAACAAGAACCATTACCAGTCCTGGAACTTGTAAAAACTGCATCACTGTTGGCTCCTCTCAATGGACTCGAAAGAGTTTCCAATTAGGTTATCCTCTCTATGGTGACATTATTCGACATGAAATGATGGAAGCTCAAATGTGTCACAAGAATGGCGCAGGAAAGTTACTTTTTGCCACTCCCTCATTTTGTAAGAGCATTGGTGCTAAACAAGCTCCATGTTTCGACCAGAGAAAATCATTCTGTACCAAAATGGATACTTATGGAGAGAAAGTTGCTTGTTCCAGTAATTTCTTTAAGAATGTGTGTTGTGCTAAAAAGTACTTGATGGACATGATTGAACATCCAGAACATTTCTCACCCAATAATATGGGAACATTCTCATCCAGAGGCCCCACCAGAGGTGACAATAGAATCAAACCAGATATTGTTGCTCCAGGCCAATTAATTTTTGGATCTCGCTCTTTGGGAACCTCCTCTTTGGCTGATTCTGAAGAATTGGCAGATGCAAGCATTGACAAGGGTTACTGCCCAGTCCCTATTGCCAATCAGGGAACATCATTCTCAACTCCAATTGTAGCTGGTTATGCATCCATGATTCATCAATACTTTTCAAAGGGTTTCTATCCTGAAGGTAAAGAAAATTCTAAACATTCATTGAATCCAATGGGAGCCACTCTGAAGGCAATGTTAGTGAACAGTGGTCAAGAATTGAATGGACTCGTGGAAACCAATGGACATGGAATTTGGAAACAATTACATGCTACTCCATCCTATACACAAGGATTTGGATTGGTTCGTTTGAGACACGTATTGCCATTTGCTGGAGAGAGTGACTTTACATTATTTGTGAGTCAAGATGATTCAGTGGCTACGAGCGAGTACAAGCAATATTGTTTCAGAACTGTGAAAATTGAGAGCAAGAAGGATCACGCCTTTAAGGAATTGAATCAAACATTGAAGGCTACTTTGGTATGGACCGACTATCCAGGAAGCCCTAATGCTAAAATACAATTGGTGAACAATCTTGATTTGGTTGTACAAGATGAGGCAACCAAGACTGAATATTTTGGTAATGGAGGTAGAGATTATGTCAACAACGTTGAGCAAGTGAATATTAAGGGTTTTAACACTGACGGACGTCAATATCGTGTGGTTGTTCAAGGAACCAATGTTCCACATGGACCTCAACAATTCTCTCTCATAGTCAATGGACCATTGGAGAAAATTGAATGTACAGGAGAGCCAAACTTGAAGAATGCAAGAATTGTCAAGAAAGCACCTGCTGCCTCAAACTCCAATGACAACGAACCAGAACTGTTGTCAGGATTTTTGAAACTGTTCTCCGGTCAACAAGACTCAATTTTGCAGATAATGAGCTGGAACAATAAACTGCTGTAAAAAAACAAGGTTGAAAAAGTTAAATATTCATGTATTTAGCAGTTATAAATAAAAATGGAAGAAATTTCTCAATCAAAATTATGCTGAGGCTTGTTTTCTTAGTCTGAATTTTTGGATAATAGCACCAACAGCAAAGACACATGCCAAGATAAAGCTCACTCCTCCCACAACCAAATAAGCAATGGCCAAGAATAAATTACGTCCTCCAATCCAACTACTTGTTGTCAAAACGACATATTTCTTTCCGTCAAATGTAGAAACGTTGAATCGTTGTTGCATCTTGAAAGTGTATGTGCCTGGATCCAAAGGAACATTGATGATACGATATAATTTACGGAAAGTAGGAAGAGCAGCCGTACGCATCCAAACAATAAAGTCTTCATCTGTGACAGTTGGAAGAACGTGACCTGGTTCACCATAGTATTCTGTTGGTGCTACTCTGTTAAGAGCTGGACTCTTTGGAGCTTTAAACTTCACATCCACGTCAGAAGACCATGCAATACCCTTCTTTGTACAATTTGATGTTGCAGAGTGATATTGACCGTCACAAACTAGAGTATTATTTGGTCCCAATAAACTAATAGTATCATTGAACATGCTCCAAGCAATTAAACCACAAGGGCTGTATGTCATGTTAGCATTCTTTTTGATAGAATCAGTCATGTTTGTTTGGTCAGCTCCGTAAAAAACGATTGGGTAACAGTCAGAATTGGCCGACTCTGGAGTAATTGTGTTGTCACCAGCCAATTGTGGATCATTTCTAGAAGAAGTATAACGACGGTGATTTTGATAAAAGTTTTCCAAACTATAATACATGTAAATTGGTGGCTCCATTCTTGTCTTAATTTCAACTGATGTTGTAGACTCGCAGTATGGACCTCTTCCAGGTAAATTAGAAGGTGTATAATCGAGAATACAGTCTCCATCATATTGCTTCACATATTCTTGAACATTTTGCGTCGTTACCAGAATAGCTACTCCAATCGGGATGAAAACGACAGTGATGGCAAGGAAACAAACAATGACCCAAGGTGGGGACAAAATTGGCTGCCAAGCAGGAAGCCGTTGTTGAGTGAAGGCAAAATCTATCGAGTTGTATCGATGTTGAATTGTTTACGTGTTGTTGTTGTATGATGGTCAATGTGTTGCGAAAAATATTGTCGAAGTTGGAATAATGTTGGAAGAATGGAGAGAAGATCATGTCAATTGTTTTCATCCATGCGACGTTGATGATATGAATACAAATGATCAATTTTTCATTATATTTCAATGGTTGATGAAATGTAATTTCCAAATATATCAATTTTCGTTATCGCACCGTTGATAGTTACAGTGAGAACAACAATCATTCATGATCATATATCCTCATTATTTACTTGAAGGACACTCACCTCTTGGCTTCTTTGACTTTTTTACCTCTTCCGGCATGTTCTTTGATGATTCAAAGTAAATAATAATAATAAATAATTTCTTCTGATGATGATGAACTTTCTTATATAGGCTACTGTATCCTCTACTTTTCCGTTGTTGAAATTTCTGGTGATGATAGACTTGTTATTTCCAACGACCACCTCTCAATGAGACCGAAAACAGTGAGTCCAAAATGTGTGCTCGTTTGAATTTTTTTCTGTTCTTTAATGCTCTCTCATCAACGTCTGTTTCTCTTCTAAATTCTTCTAATTCATTTCGTTTCCTTCTCTCAACTCGAAGGAGCATCATGGATCTATTATTTTCGTACAGAGTGGATGAATGAAAAATTGATCTTTGATGATTGCCAACATGACTTCTTGGATTGGAAAACTTTTCAATTTCAATTTGCCTTGGTACAGGAACGATATCGTACCGCTCAAATTAGCTGTTAACAGTTTTTTCAAAAAAAATTCAATGAATGCTCTCTCACAAACCCAGCAGAGCATGAATTCATCGGAGGAGACGAAGCCAACACAGCAAGGCATTCACCACCACGTGGCGGATGCTGATGAATTGTTGCTGAATATTTCTGCCATTGAACCTCTCTCTGCCATGAATCCATACGATCTGGAAGAAGATAAAAACATTGAACATCCGTTTCTTGATGATCAGAGGACGAATTCATACGATGAAGCGAACGTTGATGAACAACCACAACAACACCCAACTCATCATGTTTATATAGATGCCTGTAGTAAAATTGATGATTTGAATCTATCAGCTATTGAACCAGTAGCTACCGAACAACATCATCCAACCGAAGAATTACATCTACCTTCTTCTCATCATCAAGAAGAAGAAGAACAACAACAACAACTTCTCACTGAAATCACTCAACCTCGTTCTCATCCTCCAATCAATGAGAGTGTTCTTCATGAAAGTATTTGTATTCTGAATCCTTCTGAGGAACAGCAACATCATGAAGTGATTACCCTTAAGAAAGCAAGACGAATCAAACGACGAGCAAAAACTTCCAATCAACAACCAGGTGGTGTAGATCTCTCATACCTCGATGAATCATTCTCCATCATGAATCATCCTATGAATCTTCATCCTAACAATAATAAGGAATCCTCTAACGATCTTAATCAAACCATTCCTATCAGTGATCCATTCTTGGATCATCAAGATTTCTCGTTGAATCATCATGTTACAGCCTCTCCTATTAAGCCATCAGTTTCAAACCAACAGCAACAACAACAAGAAGAAGAACAACAAAATTCATCCAACAACCGTAAAAGCTTTGGAAGATCATCCGCTTTGATTGAAAAAGATGCACCCATCTTGGATCGACTCTACGACTCGGACGATGATCTTAAGGAAACGATTGAAAAGTTGTCAGATGTAGCCACTGGTTCAAGCAGTTCTCCTTCCTCATCATCATCCTCGGATGCCCTCTATTCGGAAAGCTCGAATGAAAGTGTTTGTTATCCCTCATTTAGGAATACGATGCGAACACGAGCTCCCTTCTCACGAAAAGTCAACAAGTCACAACGACATCAGCACACTTACAAGACAGATTTCTCTGAAGATGTCTTTTCGAGTGACAGTCAAAAGTCGTCGTCATCCTCAGAAGAAGAGGATCAAGTATCCACTCAAGGATTCTTCTCTGGTTTTCAATTCATTATTGCCGATTTAAAAGCAAAGGATAATGTTCTCATGACCATTAAGGAGAATGGTGGAAAACTTGTTTCTATGAGAGCCGATAGCCCATGGTACACTCTGGACAAGTTGTCAGATGCCAAGTTTGCTTCTTCCAAGTTTGTTCTCATTGCAGACGAGCCACGAATGAAACCTAGTTATGTTGTGGCACTCATGTTAGATATTCCACTCCTCAAGAAGGAATGGCTTTTTGAATGTGCCAAACAGTATCAAGTCATCACTGATTCGAGCAAGTTTTTGCATAAACGAGGAACCTATGTCGCTGTTGGCACTGGAGAAAAAGTTGAGGTTTCTCAACACTTCAATGCATCATTTAGAATCAAACCTTTACAAGAGCGTTTGTTCTATAATTTTGTTGTCAAGATTATATCGAGTGACTCAAAATTTACTGAAACGTGGAAGAAGATTTTTGAAGCAGGAGGAGCCAAAGTAGAAGATGAAATTTCTGGCTTGATTGGATTCCAGAAGAATTTTGTACTCGTGAAAGAGCATGAAGATATCACAAAATCAAGACTCGATTTTTGTAATGAGCACAAAATTCCCATCATTGATAAGGATGCAGTACTTCAATTAATAATATCTGGTAAGACAGATTCAATACAAGGAATGAGAATTCGACAAGCAGCACAAAAGACTAAGTCATTCAGTAAGAACGCGTCTTTCATTGCTGCTACAACTACTGCAACTAACACTAGTACTACTAACATTACACAATCGTTGGATGATTCTATCATGTTACCTTGCACACCACAACACAAAAAGAAGAGGAAGAAGGCAGTCAATGCTGCAGTGGCAAGAGCTGCCAAATGGTTTGCGAATGTGCAAGATGAAAATCCATGTGATATAAGCATCATTGACATTAGAACTCCTACGAGTGCCACGACAACCTCTGAATTTTTCAAAAAGAAGGGATTTTTTGAAAATGCTGCTGAGTTGCAATCTCGCGGCGCCATTACACACAATTCGTCATTCATTATCAAGAAGCAACCCAAACTAGACAAATTAGACATGTCATTTTCTCGCTCAAGATTAGACATGAGCATTCTTGGTACTGAGGATGCTTCTCCACCAGAACCTGCTGCAGCGTTGACACCTGGTGATTATTTTCTTAAGGAAGAAAGTTTAAAACTTCAAAAGACACGCTTTGTTCGTCTCTCCAAATTAGCCTGCTCCAAAAGAAAGCATTCCACAGAAGACACACAAAACTCTGATCAACAACAGCCATGGCAAATGGAAACTTTTTTCATTGGTGACATGGTTGCTGTTCGATCTGAAAACATTTTTGAAAGCTCGACACTCAAATACATACGAATTGATAAGCTCCATTATAAGGATAATGTGACCGATGGTAAAGAAATGCAAGGAACCGAGTTTACCTTAGAGGAAAAGTCTTCAAAGATGCTTGTCCCAACCAATCGCTCGATCAAGTTTAGTTTATCTGCTATTTGTTACAAATTAGCAATTGTTGCATCGAATAGTAATGTCGAAGAAGCAACAACAGCACCGAAGACAGAAAAAAAGAAGAAAAAGTCTCAACGAAAGGAATTCTTTTGTGACTATGCATTTAAGAATCTTAAAGTGAAACCAGTACATGATCCTGCTGTGAAAGAATTACATGCGCTACCTCATGATCAAGAACTTGCCTCTGAATTGGAATTGAAGAGAGAAAAACGATCTGTGAAAAATTCCATTCGATTCAAGAATCCACAATTTATCAGGTTCTCTACTTTTGATTTCAATGGTTCTACTTTTGAAGAAGGAACCTTTCTGAGATTATTTACTCGAAACGCATTCTTGTCATCCTCGAATCAACCACGACACAATGGAACAGTAATTCGTGTCAAGGAAATACGGGAAGGCAACATTGCACAATTTGTGAATACGCTCAACACTGCCATGATTGATGGAAGTCAACCATGTCCAATTTTGAGACCAAGTAATTCTTCATCTCTAGTTTTTGAGGTATTTAAGAGTGTTCCTGAACGTGAAAAGCTTTACACATTCACTCATGAAGTTGAGGAGATTTTGTTGAGCCAAGTGTTGACATTGGAACCTCTGGTGGCCCTTCAGAAGGATGTTTTTGATCCTTCTTTGGATGTCAAGGTTTTGATGCAAGAAAATGATGTCATTGTTATTGAGTAGTAATAAAATTGAAAAGTGTTTGAATGGATTGGGCTCTCACAACCAAGTCTTGCCACAATACTTGGTGTACACCAAGGAATTGGTGATCAGAAGAGTCTAGGGGAATAAGTTGTGTCATCAATGTGATGTCAGAACCAGGTCAAAACTTATTATTTATCATCATTACAATTCAGGTAGCCTTCACACGGTGGTACTTTGCAATATCAAATGTTGCATTCCCAAAAAAAAAATTATGGTTACCACATTTTTTAAATAGAAGAAAAGATGAGGATGGCTGAAGTGCCGCCAAAACGACAATGCCGCCTCTTGAATTTACAATTTTAAAAAAAATAACAACAAAAAATGTCTTCAAAGGAAATTACTCAAGTATTTGCAACTTACAAGAAGGCTCGGACCACTTTTGCGAATAGCGTTGCTGAATTGGTCAAACAGCCAAGACATATCGAGGGTACGTAATGCTTGTTGTTCAATAGAAATGATGATCGGAATATGCTAAAATTCTGTACAGCCATGATTCAACAAGAGACAGGAGTGTTGGATTTGTTGCGTCCTCTCCTTTTGGACACAGATCCTAGTGTACAACAAAATGCTGCTTTGGCGTTGGGAAGATTGGCCAATTACAGTCCTCAACTAGCAGAGAAGATTGTTGCAAGCGAGATTGTACCTCAACTTGTGGCGTCAATTTTGAAAAATAACGTAAGTACGCTCAATATCGTTTCTAACTATTGACATTGTAATCAATGTTTTAAATAATCGTCCCTCTCAATTAAATATAGAAATACTACCAAAGACATGCTGCTTTTGTATTGAGAGCAATAGCCAAACATGGACCAAGATTAGCTCAAGCAGTTGTCGACTCGGGAGCTGTTGATGCGTTAGTGAAATGTTTGGATGAGTTTGATCCACTCGTAAAAGAATCTGCAGCTTATGCTATTGGAAATATTTCAATGCACAGTCCTGAGCTCGCACAAATTTGTGTCGATCAAGGTTGTGTTGGATTGTTGTTGACTTGTGCACAACAACCAGAACAAACGCTGAAAAAGGTTGCCATTTCATCACTTGCCAATATTTGTAGTCACACTCCTGAATTAGCACAAGCTGTGGTCGATGCAGAGGGTATTCCTGTAATAACACCTCTTATTCTCAACCCTGTAGTGAAACGTCAAGCTTGTCAATGTCTTGCTTTCATTGCCAAGCACTCGGTGGAATTGGCAGAATTAGTCGTGGAGGGAGAAATATTCCCAAAGATTTTTGCCTTACTTCAAGATCCTGAGGATGAGATTGTCAGAAAGAATGCAGCCTCATGTATTATGCAAGTCTCAAAACACAATCCAGAGCTGGCAGCCTTAATAGTCAATGCAGGTGGCCTTCCAGCAATTGTAGATTATGTCAGCAATGCAGAGGGTGATAACAAATTACCGGGAATTATGATTCTAGGATTCATTGCTGCATTCCAAGAAACTATGGCCACAGCTGTTATTAAGGCCAAATCTGTGCAACCACTAGGAAATGCTTTGTCACCATCATATTCAGATCACTTGCGAGCTGCTGCCGCTTGGAGTTTAGGCCAAATCGGAAGACATACTTCTGAACATGCCAAGGCTGTTGCCGAAGCTAATATTTTAACTTTGCTTAATGAGGCATTTTTGGATGACAAAGCCTCTGAGGATTTGAAGAGTAAATCAAAGAGAGCTCTCAAAGCAATTATTCAAAAATGTACATATCTGGACGCTCTCAATCCATTGCTTTCAGAAAAGGCACCACAAAGTATATTGAAATATGTTGTAAAGCAATTTGAAGCACTGTTACCTGACGATGTAGAAGCCAAGAAGCGGTTTGTCCAAAGCAAGGGCTTACAAAAGTTACAACTGATCAAAACTGACGAAGAAGCTCTTCAAGAAAGTATCAAATTTATCAACAACTTGTATCCTGATGAATTAGTGAAGTATTACACACCAGGTTATGACAAGGAGCTGTTACAAAAAATTGATGAATAATAAATTAAATATATTTAAACTACATACAAAGTCTCATTTACTAATAAGTTCTCAACAACTATTGGTTAGGTAATTTAACTTTTGTTCGTTTGACATGTCTCATTCTCGAACGATCGTCGAGAGCAACTGAAGTTATTATTTCAAAGAATGAATGAATTCATGTGAATTTAAGCGATTACTTACTTTGCTTATTCTGGTTAAAGTCAATGAAGTGGGTGTTTGAAATGACAACCGTATGATCTGACTTGTTCTTCTTAAATTTCTGGTATGCCTTCTCAATGAGAGCACTTGTGGACTTGTCATACTCATTATAATTTGCCTTGTGTTGCCAATGCCAAGTAACCCTCACTTTTTTCTTTTTGGGAATAACTACTGGCTTTTTAGCTAATTGTGAGGTGTATGCGTCTTTGTAAAAATTGGTCGTTGATGGGCTGTCAAAGAATGTTTCGAAGAAATGTCAATCTTGTTTGAAACGCGGCGATAGAAATGTGATAAAATATACTTACTGAAAACTTCCAATGTATTGCCGACCTGGCTCAACAGTTATCCACTTCACATCTGGAGAAATAGTGCTATTGTCACCAGAAGCATGCAGTACACTTGTTACATCATTCAGAGCAAATTCGAAATGTGGCTTCTTGTCTAATTTTTCTTTGAAAAATTCTACAACTCTTTTTGTTGTCAAGTAATTCATCGCAGCCGTTGTCAATGAATTGTATGGAAGCGAGAGTTGCTTGTAGTCATGAACATTCATCTCTTCATCCTCTAAATATTTACCATTCACAGCCTTATCGACATTACGTGAAAATTTCGTTGCTTGTTTGATGACTAGCAATCTGGCGAGACCAGTCATTGCCCTTACATCTGCACGTGGTGTTGTTTGGGTCATATAATACCTATATCTTCGTCTTCGGATAGGAGTGTATGCTGTTTTTCCAGCCAACAAAATTTCATTCTTAATTTTTGTTTCATCGTAACCAGGAATAGCAATTCTAAATCCTCTCTTTGCATATTTTAACAGACGTACTAGTATTGGTTATGAAAAGTATATTTTGGTCATCAATATGAATTCAACTTACTTTCATAGGTTCTGTTGTGACGAAAGGTTTTTGAATAATAATTGATCAGACTTCAAGGAAATTCTTGACAGCAATTACTTACTTGGATTGGCGTGAAGGGTCAACCAAATTAGATCTTGTATTAATGGCTCTTCGTCCTCTGGGCAAACAAAATACTTGCGAACCATCGAATCCAAACGTTACGCTATCACAATCAAATCCACACAATACTTCTGTAATGCTCTTATAGATTCGAAGAATGATTTGAATTGGTCGAATTGGATACTGGAAATAAAAAGTGACCGAGTGTTCGGTTCGAACCACTAAAATATCATCTTGTAACTGCGTATTATATCCCTGTCCAGTGCTCATGAAATATTTTCTATAGACATGTCCGTTTAGGTTGGTTTTGAAAAGAGTGAATAAATAATTAATCTTTTCTTCTGCCTCTTTTTCAGAGAGGCCATAAATAAACAAATCTACATCGCTTTTTGACCACACAGAATAGGTATATGTATGTGCTAATTCCTTATCTGCAGTTGTTTCTATTGGCTGTTGAGTGCCCCAAGATACATATGCCAATCCAAATGGATTAGTAGCGAATACCTGAGTCTGTATGCTCTTTTCATCGTCACTGTCAGTAAATACGTTTTCGTCATCGTCCTCGAGTTCAAAATCATTATCTTCCGGATTTTCTTCACATGTATCATCGACGTCCCAGTTACTGGCTTGTTCTTCCATTGAAGAATCTTCAGCTTCAGTAGAGATGGATTCTTTCTTTTTGTCATGATCTAATAATGCTGCAACTACAGAACCACCTGCGCATACAATGTTAGACCAATCCATATCTTTAAATATTCCATATGTGAAAGCATTGAATTGTGCAATGAATTGACCTCGATTTGCACAAATCTTGGGAATAGGCGGAACAACAATTGCTTGTTTTTGAGTTAACTCTGATTTTTCCATAGGGTTTTCAAAGTTGAAAATGAGAGGAACCTGTCATTGAAAGCCAAACGAACATTTTTGTGTCAATTAGCAAATTTGAAACCCAGACACCATAAATTTTAACTTACCTGAGCAGGTGGATCTTCTTTTCTAAAGGATGTTCTTGTCTTTTCATTTTCGAAAATATTGATCAGTAGCAAGTAAGGGTCGTTAAGAATTGGATTCTCGCGATCGGTAGCAAATAAATGTCTAATATAATCTTCTTCTTCTTTCATTTTGATATTATCTTCTCCAATTGTTTCTATAGGATATCTTAATGGGTTCCAATAATCAAGAAGTCCAGTCAAATTCAACAATTTGCATTCCCTATACACTTGTTTTTGCTTGTGTGTTTCCAAGTTGAAAATATTCACTTGACCAGTTTGTAAATAGTTAAGAATCACTCCAAATATTTCTGGATCTCTGTCGATAAATATTTCATTTTGAGCAGGCTGATTTTCTTTTGGAGGTTCTAGAGCAGACAAGAAATCATTAAGGATGCATTCAGGATGTGACACAATTTTGCGAAGAGGAACTGTGTGTTTCACTCCTCGAACGTTAAAAACAATATCAGTTCTTGCAGAAAATGATGCAATTTCTCTCTCTTTAGAATTGAGCATCTCATTTTCCTCCTTGATTTTTTTTTCGAGACTTGTAAAGTAACTATCTGCAACTTCCTTCTCAGTAATGGTTAAGCTCATAAAGCTTTCAATCCATTCCTGATCGGCCTTTTCTTGGCCAGTACTCACCATGGTGCTATCCAACGTTTCATCGGTTATCTTTTTGTGGGATACAATTGTAGATTTTGGAGGTTCAGTTTTGCTTTTAATCTTGTGCTCAATCTCACCAATGATAATTCTGACAGCTTTACTGAGTCGTTGAGTACCAAAAAAGCCAGATTCCTCCAACAATTCTTTAAATTTTGGAAGAGTTGCTTCAGTTCGTTCTTCCCAGAGACCACAATGAGTTGTGGATCCTGTTCACACATGTGTGAACAAAGGTTTGATTTTATCAATCAGTCACATGTTCATGTGAATGGTTCGACCAGATCATACGATGGTCAATTTTTGCAATTCAAAACAACATACCAGTTCTCAAATGTTCCAAAATAATTGGAAAATAGTCTGGATTTCTGTCCAACATAATAGCTCCACTCGAATCTCTATCAATTCCAAACTCAGAATGAATCATAGTTTTCAACATGTTCTCTCTCTTTGAAATGGTTGTTTTAGTAGTTGTGAAAATCTTTCCTCCGACATTGAACTTGATGAGATTATCTTGTCCTTGTTGTTCTAAAAGATCTTGCAAATTCTTTTGTGGGCTCAATAAATAATCATCATCAGACTTTTTGGCACCACCCTCACCGTCATGAACTTGTTGTTGAGATAATGTTGTTGATACTTCTTGAGAGGATGATTGTTTCTTCGGAAAGGTTCCCGATGAAGAGGAGGAGGCAGATGATGATGATGCAGAAGCCTTTCCCAACAAGAACTTTTCCAAAAATTCAATTTCCTTCTTTCTTGCTTCAATTCCTTCCCATTGCTTTTTAAAGTGCAGCAACTTTTTAATTTTGTACCGTTCAATCATGTCCCGAACATGAACATAATTGCTCGGATTCATGTCCATGATGGAAATATCCTTCGCAAGAGATGCTGTAGAGTCTTCATGATTGTTTTGTTCAGTGTCGGCTTGGTCTTGAATGCGCTTTCTCTTGTTGTGGAGTGCGTCTTCGGTGTGAGTGGATGAAAGCATTTTTTTATGATTCTAATTACTTCTGGAAATGGATGTTCTTTACAATGGGTAGAAAATGAATGGTTTTAAAATTGTTGTAGTAGTTGTTTTTTCAATCACATGTATTCATGGACAACACTGTTTTTGAAAATACCACATTATTTGGCTGATTTTAAGGTAAGTGTTTTGTTGGAGATGTTTATTTCACCTGAACGGTGGAATGTTTAAAGATTTTTGAGAGAATATTGGTCTGCAAATAGACCTAAAAACGATGTGGTGTAAAAAGAGGATTGTGGAGGGCTTTCATAGTCAAAATAGGACTGCCCCCTAGACAGGTTGACATGTTTCAGGTCTTCCTCGCTTGGCGTACCGACCTCATTACTGACCGTTTGCAACAAAGTACTTTGTTGATTCTGTTGTGGTGGCGTACGAACGTCTGTCCTTTGTCCCGGGTTGGCATGCCTACTGCTTGATGGAGATTGTTGTGAAGAAAAGAGTCCTGCTTTTCCATTTTGAGAATCAGTTTGGGATTTTCTCCTTACCGTTGGAGAAGATGTTGTTGATTTATCCATTTCTTGTCTATGTTCTTGTATCAATGATGTTAGGAGTTTCAACATTTCCGTTTCGTACTTCATTCTGGCAGCTTCTCTTTCGGCTTCTCTCTCTTCTCTTTTGGCTTCTCTTTCTTCTCTTTTCGTTTCGAGGTCCATTATGAGCTTTGTGAGGGTGGTTATTGAGCTTTCCTGATTACCTGACTTTTTCTTTTTGTTCTTGGATGATCGATCATGTTCATCCATCTCATCACTTTCATCATCGCTCTCGCTGTTGGATCGTCTTGATTTTCTCTTTGATTGGGTTTGTGGCTCAACAGTAAAATCCGTGACGCAAGTAAATGCATCATCGGACTTGAAGAGACCGTAGCAAAAGCCATCTTCACCCACATGCTCATCGTTTCTATAGATGAGAACATATAAATTCTTGTCCTTGAATTCATTTCTATACATCAAGGGGAGTTTAGAATAACCTTGCTTGTTTCTAAGAGAACCATCTCCCTTGATCACTATTGGAGTGTCATCAAAAGACACGACTCCAGAAAATAATAGGGTCACGGGTTCAGCATCAACCTCTGTTTCACCCATCCATACTTTGGATTTTCTCCCGGATGATTTGGAACTAATGATCCACGGTTGCTCTTTTGTGTGATGAACTCTGATGTACTGGAGAGCTTTAACCATTTCTTCTTTTTCATAGAGAGCAGAGGCAGGATAAGGAACATCTGTTTTCCTTCGATCACCTTTGCTAAAATAAATAATATACCTCCACTCTTGAGAAAGTTCCATAGTGGATGGAGTTGTAAATGATAATTTGATGGTAAAAACATCTATATTTTGAGATTGAAGATTACCAATAGTAACTTTGCTTTTAGAAAGTTTTGTTGGAGCTGTCTGATCCCTATCCACAGTAAGTTCTACTGTGGGAGAGATTGAAGGAAAAGAATCCGTTGTTTCTTTTAGCTTGTGCATGGTGCACCTGAAGTTTGGTGATGTAATCTTGTTGTTGTTTAACATTGTTTCGAGTGTGCGAGTGAGACGATGGACGAAGAGAAAAGATGGATTTTTTTGTTGTTGGAAAAACCGGGGAAAAAAAGAGCCAAAATTTTGAGTGTTTCCAAAAGTCCACACTAAAAAATTTACTAACACATGAATTGACCACTCAACCATTTTCCCATTCTCCAACAAAGCCACGAGAGCTTTTCGTAGCTGATTTTTAATTGGGTTAAGGTAACAAGTTCAATTAACAGCCAGGTAGATAGCTATCTATGAAAAATCAATCATATTAAAAAATGGTTGTTTATTATGTTCGAGATCATATTCTTCGAGATCCATTATTGTTGCTCTGATTGGAGTTGTTTCTAGAGTATTGAGAATTTCCATATTGTTGTTGTTGAGATGGTTGGCGTTGTGTTTGAGAGTAAGGACTGTTGTTACTTTGAGCATCGTTCTTGTAACTTCCATATGGAGACTGTTGTGAATAGGGATTAGAAGAAGCATATGGAGACTGTTGTGCATACGGACTGGAAGAAGCATACGGAGAAGTCGTTGAAGAATAAGGTGATGCTGTCTGTACACTCGAATAAGGACTTCTGGAATAGGGTGAATTTTGTGACGACACGACGGATGAATAAGGGCTATTACTGCCAGAGGACGATTGCTGAGATCCATAACCACCTCGTGAATAAGGCGATCTCGAATAGTCACCACGTGATGATGATTGCCTGTTACTGTCGTCATATGATGATCGATTTCTATTGTCATTGTAACCTCGTCCATCCGATGATAAAGTACCACCCCTGGTGTTGCTGCCACTGCTGCTGTCGTAGTTACCACCTCGATAATTACTACCTCTACCATCTCCTCTGTTTGCATAACTTCGATCATTGTTATATCTATTATCGTAATTATTTCGATTGTCACTATAGTTTCGATCATAGGCTTGATTACTTCGATAATCTGTTGGTCTGTCACCTTGTCTGTAGTCATTCCTAGAATAATTGTCACCTCTGTTGTTGTAACTGTCTCTCCTGTTATTGTCATTTCTATCATAGCTTCTGCTGTTATCATAATTACCTCTATTGAATGAGCTAGATCCTCTGTAATCGACTCGGTCTCTGTTGCCTTGACGATTGACAAATTGTTTCCTCACACTCAAATAATTATTTCTTGGCCTTCCGTTCATAATATTTTCGATCATTTCCTTAGGAGAGCAAAATGATATGGTTTTTTCATAATTTTCTCCAATGACCACAGGTACGCTTCCAGAATCAAGAATTTTTGGAAGCATCTTTGGGGGAGGTGTGACCGTTGGCAACAACTTGGAAATATATTTGCTTTTGGTCTTTTCCAATGGAGGTAACTCATATCGAGCACTCACGGCTTGTGTTTCTGCAACATCGTCCAATAAATCTGATTTCCATGGAACCTTCACCTTGTCAGATGGAGCCACTCCTTGTGAATCTTCATAAAAAACACCTGCTAAATCTCTGGATGCTTTAGAAAAGTCAAATTTTGCGCTTCCGTTAATGTAGCATTCCATCACGAATTGTTGTAGTGGATGTTCATAATGGACAAAGAGTGTCGTGTTTCCAAGTGTATTTCGTTCAATCTCATCAGGAGTCAAGGAAAATTCCACAGTCTTAATGGCTGCACTCAATTCTTCTTGATCAATGAAAGGAAGTAAGCAAACACCCATCCATGATTTGGTCTTTCCATTTAAATCAATATTAAAATCAGTTGGATAAAACTCCTTAATTGGGCTCTCATTGGATAACATGAGTTCACGATAAGCTGGTGGTAATGCTCGAGCACTTCGTGGAGGTAATACTCCAAGCAATTGAGAAAATGGCTTGTAAGGAGCTCCCTTCTCGAAATTGAGATTCAATTTGGATATATCGACTTCAGCCATGTCAGAGGCAAAAGGAGCATAATGATAGGGGTAAAACCATCCCCATGAGTCACATCCAGTGTAATAATATCGAAAAACCCAAACTAATCCTTCAAGGTACTTCAATGAGACATCCCAATATTCATCAGTACCTAGTTCAATGCCCATCTTCTCCTTGTAATATCTGGCTCTCCAACCTTCTGATCCAAATTTCACATTGTCTGGGAATTTTTCAGTGTCAACATTCTTTGATTCATCCACTCGGATTTTCAAGACATCTGCATATTGCTTTGCTTCCATTTTGACAGGTTTCAAAGGCTCAATGTCATCCTGAGCATTGGTTGTTGCTGTTGATGCAGGCTCTTCTGTGGCTTCATCTACGAGAGGTTTCAGCTTTTTTTCTGAAGGTGCTTCTTCTTCGAGCTCTTCATTGTCTTCTTCGTCTTTTTTTCGTTTACCAAGAGCGCTTGTGTCTTGTTCCTGCTCGATAGCTTTTTTCTTTCTGTAGTCTTCGTATGGATTTGTGAATCGATTGAAGTTGTCTCGATGTTCCTTTAGAATTGGAACAATTTCGATATTGGGTTTACCCGTATCTGTCTGATTAGATTGATGCTTTTGTTCTTTTTCTCGCTTTCTCTGTTCTTGTTGCTGTTTGAATTGTTCTTCTCTCTTTGCACGAACGTCAAAGATTCGATCCTCGTGTTTGGAAACTTGTTTGAGCAGATATTGAACGCGCCTCACGTTGACATCTCCATTCTCTGTTAAATATCCTCCAAGCTCAGGCAAACTCTCTTTATAGAGTGCGAGAAGAAGATCAATTGCTCCTTCTCTGATATCTAAGGATGGTAAATGCGGTAAAAAATCGTTACCAACAAAGAAGCAAATAAAGACAAAATCATCTAACGCTCGTTCAAACTCAAAAGGAAATGGTAAATTCTCAATGTGTTGATTAAATTCCACTTCCAAATATTCTCTCAAAATACTAATGTGCAGTATTTCAAGAGGTTTGTACTCATACCAGTGTGCTCCTTGTTTTTTCTTTTCAATGTCATAGCTCTTTCCTTGATTTTCTTTTCCAAACATCACCTTCTCTCTCAAATTATAAAAGTAAGGTTCATGTGTAGCCAAGGCAAGCATTGTTAAATCTGCGTCAAGACCATGAATGACATGACTTGTATTGGGATTGTATCCAGGCAGTTCTCTTTGAGATCGAATAAAATCCATGATTTTGTGTTCGCCTTCTCCTGGCACACTAGCGTCACTCAAAATAACCTTAACCCGCTTCCAGCCCTCATCGGTGCTTAATTTCATGTGAATGAAATACCGTAACGCCTTTCCAAGTCTGTGCATGAAGGGAGTGCCTGGAGTGATGACATTGGAGTCCCAATTCGCTCCAGCTGGATGAATTTCATAAAATTCTTCCTCCTCCTCTTCTTCTTCTAGTGGCTTAGAATCATATAACTCATCATTGAGTGGCATGTCGCTTTCATCCATTAATAAATTTGCTAAATCCTTATTCACAGCATTGGAAGCTTTCTTTTTAGTGACGATTCTTATTGGTTTTTCAGGAGGCTCTTCATTTAGTGGAGGTGGTTCCATGCCTCGGCTAATGAGTTCCTCTCTTAAATTTCTTTCAATAGTTTTTTGATCTTCCAAATCTTTTGCGGATTTATATCGACGAGCGCGTTGTTGATTTTGCTTTGCTCTTGGTGCTGGTCCGTCGACAGCTAAAAACAAAACTCTCCTTGGGCGAATTGCTGCAAATATTCTCTCTACATATTCAAAAATCTTTTCATACATTTCTTCTTCAGTTTTTGGTGCCTCCTCGTCTTCAGGGTGGCAACACGGATGGATAATACCGTTCATATCCAAATATAAATTATCAAATTCTTTGCCGTTTGGGTTTGGTTTCGTTGTATCCACAGGTTGAGTGACGATCCGAATAGTCTTCTTTTTAATGGATGGAAGTTGGCCTTCCGCAAGCCTTGATGTGTCCACATCATCATAGGAAGAAGAGATGGTTGTTTGATGAACAGCCGGAATTTCTTCTACACATTCCGATACAATATTCGGATACTTTTCAACAAGATATCGATACAATCCAGGAACACCCATGTTGTTTGTAAATGATTAATAAATAGATGACGAAAATAAAGTCTTGGTTATCAACTCAACAATTTGAACTAATTCAAAATGATGGAGATTCTCTCGTACAATAACCGTTAATAATATTAATATTATTTGAGATTACAAGCAAACGTTGCTCGGAAGCTTGTTTCTCTTCAAAAAGACTTCTGGATGGCAAAAAATAAAAACACCTCCAGAGGTAGAATGAACAATCAGAGTTGTGCTTGTTTTCTATTTTTTTTTGAACGTGTGTTGAAATAAGTGCGCCAACCGAAGGTTCTCAGAGTTCACTGGTCGATGAAAAAAAAAATTGCCTTCTTGAAACAGACGCCATCATTCTGGTGAGATCTCAGAGGTCAGCACGAAACAACACAAATACAACCATCCACGACGAGTAATATCATCACGGTTTTGATTCGTTTTTAAAAACCAAGTTGAACTGCCAACAGTGTGCTGAAATTTGTTTCCGATATTGGAATACAACATTCTGGCTTCCATCGGGAAAGGGGATCATAGATTGGCACCATTGGTATGGGTCAAAAACAATCAAAAAAGGAGAAGAAACCTCCTTCTTCATCTCAAAGTGCACAAACAAGTGCATTTATTTCCTCGGTGAGCGGAGATGTGGGGGATGATTTTGCAATGCTTCCTGCAATTCTGGGAAGACCAAACAAGAAAAATGCTCGATTTCAACAACAACTCAAAGCCATGCAAGTGAGATTGGATAGATACAAAAAAGATATGGAACTACTCTCAAAAACTCATCTTTCAAAAGACGAGTTCCGATTGTTGAGGAGTCTGTTCACGTCTTTTTGTAAGGAATGCCTCAATGTTAAAGAGTCGTCTACAAAAAAACAAGAGACATCTCAACCAAAGCCCAAAAAAACATCCGAAGATTATTCTTTATATCTCACGCGAGAAGAATGCTACAAAGTGTTCTTTCCCAAAATTGAACTTGCACAAACATTTAATAATTTCGAAAGAACAAATGGCTCCATTCAAATACAAACCAATGTTGAAGACGTTTATTCGGAAGAAGAACGAGTAGTATTGAGCGCACTATTTAACGCAGCATGCGATTTTAATAAGAGAAAATTGCTGACATTTCACCGTTTCGTAATGACCATTAGTGCCATGTGCAGAGGAACATTTGAGGAAAAAGTGGAATGGACTTTTTCATTTTATGACTACAATCATGAAGGATATATTTCCAAACCAAAGCTCTTGACTCTCATGAAGGCGTTAGAGTCTATGGACATCTTAAAGTTAAAATCGTCTCCAAGACCTAAAAGCCCAGCAACAACTTTTGAGGAGGAGCTTGAACAAATAGTAGATGCCTTCTTTGATTGTGCAAAGAAGGCACAAAACGAGAATACACTTTTCAAAAGGGTGAATTCAAATACTTCTGATTTCAGTACACAGGATCGTATCGATTTGCATGGTTACAGCTTGGCCTGCAAAGAAAATGATACATTTTTGAATGCATTGGGAATTGTAGAAACATTCTTTGTTCCTATTTTAAAGCCAATCAATGACTTTGTACATTGTGACAACCCCTATGAAATAGAAGGATCTCTCTTCATTGCAACCACAGACGAAACAGAAGCAGAGATCGTTTATTCTGCCAATACTAGGTCCGAAAATAACTTATTTAAAAGGTTTATAGTCGACATTCGTGGAGGCTTGTTGAATGGATACTGTAGCATTACAGTCGAAAATCAAAAGAAGAGGGCATTTAGTATTGATTTAAGGAAGATTGACGCTATAGAAAATGAAACACAAATTATCTCTCTACCGTTGCTTGAAGAAATGCGAAAAGAAGATACTTTGGTTATTAGTGATGAAATTAGCAACAATGGTAGTAATACTCTAAATGTTGGCAGAGTTTCACACAAACGAACCAACTCTTTTCCTGTGAAACCCACTCATGCCATTGTTTTATCTCCCGCTTTCAGTATTACTATGTCTAAAGCTATCTATGACGAAATTTTTGAGCAAGATATAGAGCTAAACAATCTAAATGAATCAACAACTAAGAAAGAGGCCACCGAGAAAAAGAAGAGTCAGAAAAAAGATCCCAACGAAAAGAAAAAGATTGTATTTATCGCTGATAGTTCTGAAGTGAAAATGCTTTGGATCTTCACAATTTTAATGTATCATTTAGACCACCGAAAAGGTATTGAAGGAGAAGCATGTAGATTCAACTCCTTCTCTCCAGAGAGACAAAAAGTAAGAGCCAAATGGTACGTCGATGGAAAAGACGCCTTCTCAGATATTGCCATTGCTATTACTTTAGCAAAGGAGGAAATTTTCATTTCTGACTGGTGTCTACATCCAACCATGTACTTGCTGAGAGGATCTGGAAAAGAAGTTGCAGACTCCAGGCTTGACATTTTACTCAAAAAGAAGGCCAGTCAAGGTGTGAAAATTTACATCTTGCTGTGGAATGAAACTACTCTGGCGTTTCTCAATCTCAACACAAAACGAACGAAAGCATACCTTAAAAGCCTCTACCCTAAAAACATTTTTGTAAAAACCCACCCAAAGAAATTTCCCACAGAATGGTCACATCATCAGAAACTTGTAATAATAGACCAATCTATTGCCTTCCTTGGAGGGTTAGATCTTTGTTATGGAAGATGGGATGACTACCATCACAATATTACAGACATGAACCATTCTAACTGTAAATATCCAGGAAACGATTACAATAATCCAAATATTGAACCTCAGTATAAATCTGTAGATAAGCTAGACAATTTCAAAGATTGTATAGATAGAGAATATATCCCTAGACAAGCATGGCATGATATTCATTGCATGGTCACCGGCTTGGCTGCGAAGGATTGCTCATTCAATTTTGTAGAGAGATGGAATTTTGCTTTTCGAAACTCTGAAGGATCTAAGCATAAATTATTGACGCTGAAAAACCCTGGCAAAAATCCATTGTTGGAATATTATGACATCAAACAACGAAGAAAGAAAATACCAATCATTAATCCATTTCATTTAGGTGACGTACTACAAGTAAATGATACCACTAATAAGGAATCATCAGACAACAACCCAACCACTGCTAAAGAAATTTTCAAGAGCAAGCTTTCTGAGCTTGACCCAAGAAACAGACGAAAGAAAATTGAGGAAGAAGAAGATAAAAAGCTTGCACAAATTGAACAAGATTTGAAAGAAAAAGTAGATGAAGAATTTGCAAGACATCAGCCGCTGATAAAGGAGTCAGATACAGATGCATCTGATGCTGAACCTCCGTCACCTTCTCCTCAAAAGCAACAAGGAAATGCAGATGAAGGCACTCCTACTCGAGAATTACGAATTGTTGCACACAAAAACAAACACAAGATATCAGCAAAAACTAGATCAAAGAATATTATCACCACTGATAGCCCCAAACACAAAAAAGACGCCATCCAACAAAAAATTAAGAAATTCCAATGTGCTGATGAAGGGTACTTGTGCAACGCTCAGGTTGTGAGATCGTTGTGCAAATGGAGTGGATCCCCTAGAGACGAACAAAGCGTGTATGCTGCCTATCTCTATATGATTGACAATGCCAAACATTACATTTACATTGAAAATCAATATTTTATTGGATCAGGATCTGAAGTTGCAAAGAACGTAATTCCTGAATACATTTCAAGAAAAATTGTAGAAAAGATGAAACAACGAGAAGTTTTTCGTGTCATGATTCTCCTACCTTCTCACCCAGAGGGCAAGCTTACAAATCCAACAACCCAACAGGTCATGAAGTACACATACAAAACCATTAAGCATGGGGTAAACTCCATGTATTCCTACATCAAGAAGCATGTACCAGGTGCCACAGACAGTGATATTGAGAATTATCTTTCATTTTGCACCATAAGAAATTATGGATTTCTGAACTGTGATTGGAGAAGCTCCATGGAAGAAGCAGATGTTATTAGATTGGGCAATTTTCAAGACATACTCGACGAAGATGAAACAAGTGACGACTCGTTTAGCAATCATAGCGACAAATTTCGAGCGCTAATGATCATGAAAACAACTGATTCTGGAAAAAAAGCTGTCACCGAACATATCTATGTCCACAGCAAATTGATGATTGTAGATGATAACATCACCATTATTGGTAGTGCCAACATTAATGACAGAAGCATGTTGGGAACTCGAGATAGCGAAATTGCTGTTGTCATACAAGATCACCCTTCGAGCACGATCAATACCAAGATGAATGGGAAGAGTTACAAGTCTGGCAAGTTTGCTCATAGCCTTAGAATTAGGTGTTGGAGAGAGCATTTAGGGCTTTTACCTTCACAAAACGAGAAAGAGGATGAAGAGTTAACGGATGAGGAATTACAGAAAAAAATTTCTGAGAGCGAACATGATGCAGACAATGAAGACGAATCCGACGAAGCAAACATTTTCAATTTGAAAAATTTGAATATCAACAAGAACAAGACTTGGAAAAAGTGGCAGCGTCAACGAATTGAAAACAAGATGAAAAAGCTCATTCGAAATGATCCTATTTGTGATGAAACATTTAAAGGAGTGTGGCTGAAAACTGCAAAACACAATACCGATATTTATGAAGCAGTGTTTCCAGATACTCTCATTTCTAACAAGTTCACAACATTGGATGAATATTTAGAGAGCTCAAAAATTGTAGTCAATGAAAAGGATCAAAACAAAGAAATGGACAATGAAAATTTGAAGAAAGAGAAATCAAAGAAAAGCTCTGCGAATCTTTCTGCCATTGCTTCTAGTAAGAAAGCCGTAAAGGAAGAAGAAGAGCTAGTGATTGAGGAAGAACGACCAAAAACTGCACCAGCACAACAACCAGTCACAGGGACATCCTTAGATGAAACTCCATCCAAACATGTCGATCAAGATGATACCTCTCCCAACAATGCTGCCACCAGGGAACGATCCAAAAAAGCAAAGGAACTTGATTCTGCTCTTTCTGAGCCAGAGAAGAGAAAACTTTTGAAGCAGCTGAAAGGAAATCTGTGCCTATTTCCATTGGACTTTGCTTCCAAAGACACATGGTCTAAACCATTCCATGTATCGGTTGCTGTTGGTGATAACATTTTTGTTTAAGGAAAAATTGAATGGCCTTTTAACAAGTTTCTTTGTTTTGGCTT